TTTTATCTAAAAACTGCCTTTGCTTGGATTTGTGGTTTGGAAAAACCTGATGAACTCGATACTCAATCAATCTGTTCGGATGGTCATCCACACGATAATACCAGTAATCGACGAAGTATCACTTCAATTCGTGATGAACATGTTTCGTCATGGCATAAAGAATGTTCCTATGCCGCAATTATTATGCTTGCTTTATGTGCTTTTGTCTGGGCTTTTTTTACTGACTATCGAATACGATTAAATTAGAAAGGAGAATCATTCAACATATCAATTGGTTCGAAATTTTTGACCTCGTGCAGAGTCAATAAAGGATGTGGATGTGGATGTGGATGTGGATGTGGGTGTGGGTGTGGGTGTGGGTGTGGGTGTGGGTGTGGGTGTGGGTGTGGGTGTGGGTGTGGGGGTGGGTGTGGGTGTGGGTGTGGGTGTGGGTGTGGGTGTGGGTGTGGGTGTGGATGTGGGTGTGGGTGTGGGTGTGGGTGTGGGTGTGAGTGTGAGTGAAGTAATTAGCAAAACCAGACCCACACCCACACCCACACCCACACTCACCCTATTCAAGCATAAGCCTTGAAAATTGAGAAAACACGGTCCCTGCTATTTTTCTTAAGCAAGCTTCTAGAAACCTGAAATTTGGAGGAAGTATATAACTCAACGAGCTCTATCTACTAGCAAAAGCTATCGGTGATCGTGGGTGATTGTGGGTTCAAAAAATCAGTGTTCACTGGACAATCACTTTTATATTTCGATGTTTTGGGTGATCGTGGGTGTTCGTAGAATCAGCTCATCGAGCTCGATCCGCCCATGATATTGGTTGTTGATTGGGGGGTGATCGTGGGTGCTCGCTTCTTTTACAAATATCCTTGTGCATTAGTATCGTGTTGGACAAAGCCAATAACAATCATTACCAGGGCAATATGGATAAATTGCATGGATTTCATTGTATCGTTGTTAATCAACAAAGATCAAAAGTAAAATTGTCTCTAGTACTCGATACCTGCTGTCTGCGTATTTATAGGTATGTGTTGGACACAAATTGCGCAGATATCTCTCCGGGCCTGATTATTCATCCAGTCAAAAGAGGGAAGTGCGCAAAATTTGCTTTTTGAATACTTGAGAGTGTTTCATGTCTATTTTTAAATTCGATGATATTCCATTTGAATTGAATGAATTGCATGATATACATATTAAAAATCATCGTATATATTGCAGTTTGCGCAGTATATTCATTCAGGTATTAAGGTACACAATTATAAAGAGCAAAAGAAAAAGGGTTTTTTTGCTTTATGTTTATTTTTGACACCTGAATGAATATACTACGCAAATTGCAATAGATACGATGATTTTTAATATATATATCATGCAATTCAATCGATTCAAATCACTTTCATCCTTTCCTCTCTCGAGAGCCGACGCACAAGCGCTTGCTTACATTCCATTCTCGTCGTCATCCTCCTCCTCTTACTTAAATGAGGAGAGAAACCAACGGTAATTATCGTTCTAATAAGCAAAGTTCATCAACAAAATTGCAATTAAACAATCCATCTATCAACGCCATGACAAAATCTAATCAACGAACGACCGCTGGAAATATTAATACAGCAAGCAACTACAATTTGGAAGAAATGATCACGTACATTCGTCAAAATCCCAGTGCTGCATTCGGTGTTCATCAACATCTTACTCAAGTTCCATATCCTCAACATCTCAACGCTCCAACTGAGTCATCAACACCTCAAACACCTAAACGAATCTTAGACTAAAGTGATAGCGATGGTGCACAAATATCAAAACAACAACGTGTTTTTTCGAACGAAAAGCAAAAAAATATTGGTCAAATGAATATGTCAATGGCTACGAATTCTGTAAATTTAATAAATAGGAGTCCTGTACTAGATCAACCCCAACAACAAGCATCTGAACAGCAGTAACGTCGTCTTCCATTTGAACAGCTAAAACGTGCTGTTCTAAGTAACCTTCCATGTTTTTTAATTGAATATGATCAAGTTGGTGACTCAGAGAATCGACCATCCGATGTAACAGCAGCAAGTATAATAGAGGAACGTTTTAAGCAACAAGGAATCTCGATCACATTCTCTCTCGCCGGGCATGCAGGTAATAAATTAAAATTAGGAGTGAACAACAAAGAGTCGTGTGCAACATTAATATCTACTGGTAAATGGCCGTCACAAATCAATAATATTAATATTACCGTAATTAAGCCGAAATTTATTCCAGATTCCTTTGCTCTTGTTGTTCGTTACGTACTCCTTCAATACAATGACGAATATGTAAAAGAGGAAATCGAACGAAATCTTCAATCAACCGAAAATGTTAGACGCATCCAGTATCATTTTCAACGAAGAACAAATTATTTTCGATTTACTGTTAAAGATTTACGTGAATATAACTCAACATTAAAATTAGGTCGAATATCGATTGGAAATACATTCTGCACTATCACTCCCTTCCTTGCTGGAAATCGAATGACATACTGCACTTGATGTTGGTGTTTAGGTCATATGAGAGATATATGTGATCTAGTACACCCTCGTTGTCGTATCTGTCTAAATAATCTTATTGATGATCAAACACATGATTCTTCGAATGTAGTTCGTTGTGCTCAATGTGATGGTCACCATCATTCATTATCTAATGACTGTGAAAAGGTCGTCGAATATCGATCCAAGTTAAACGAACAAGTTAACAACGCAATATCAACAGGCAAATTACATCGATTAATGCCTCAAGATCGTGCTCAGTCGATACAATTTCAGATGAAGCAAAATGAATTTCCTTCACTACCGTCGCTTATGTCTCGTACTACTACATGGAAACTAGCTTCAGCACAACCATCAGTAACAACTAATATTAATGAAAGCGAAGATTCAACAAAAATGTTATTCTCGATAAATTAAAACATTCCAGATATGAACGATAATGCTCATCGTATGGAGGGTGTGGGTGTGGGTGCGAATGATGAGAACATCCACACCCACACCCACACCCACACCCACACCCACAACGGGAATTGCAAAGCATATTCCCTTGTTTGCATTTGCATTCTTAAATAAATGAATAATTATTTTAAAAAAATTATTTTTGATTATATATCCAACAGTAGGATATTCAATGAAGTGAATTATTTATTGATAGATGAATCAATATTAACTTCGTCAAATTTCTCTGTCGAAGTTGTAACTTCGACAACGATCATCGTCGAAGTTATAACTTCGTCACATTTATACGACGAAGTTGTAACTTCGTCAATATGAGACGACGAAGTTATAACTTCGTCAAGAATGTTGACGAAGTTATAACTTCGTCGACCGGTGTAACTTCGATACGACATATATAAAGTAAGCTCAGAATGCGCTGCATCTTTTGGTATATTTAGGTTGAACCTTAGATACAGTTTAAACAATGAAACCTTTAGTAGAAAAAAAAGTGAGATTTTTTTTATTCCAATATATCCCAGGTCAATGATTCCGGCCTCCGGAACCTGCAGGAACCGGCCGGAAACGGTGTATTTTCCGGCCTCTTCCCGCCCTTTCCGGTGTCTTTCCCGCCGGAAATGACCGGAAAAACACCCGGAACATGGAAGCAGTATTCCGGCCGGAAATTTCTCGTACACGGAAACGCAGCGTTCCGAGAATTTCTCGCTGACGGAAACTTACGGGAAAAAAACAATAACCCGCAGGAACCGACCGGAAACCGCCAACGAACGAACCGTTTCCCACCGGAAAACTCTAAGGATCCGCCCCCACATTCTTTGAAAGATCTTTCAAAGATCTTTCAAAAACTTTTTGAAAATTTTTTTTTTAATACAGAAATAGACTTTTTGAGAAAAAATAATTTTTTTTGGGAACACCCAAAATTTTGTTGAAAAAAAATTTTCAAAGATCTTTCAAAGAATGTGGGAGCGGATCCTTAGAGTTTTCCGGTGGGAAACGGTTCGTTCCTTGGCGGTTTCCGGTCGGTTCCTGCGGGTTATTGTTTTTTTCCCGTAGATTTCCGTTAGCGGGAAATTCTCGGAACGCTACGTTTCCGGGTACGAGAAATTTCCGGCCGGAATACTGCTTCCATGTTCCGGGTGTTTTTCCGGTCATTTCCGGCGGGAAAGACACCGGAAACGGCGGGAAGAGGCCAGAAAATTCACCGTTTCCGGCTGATCTCTGGAGGATCTGCGGCGTGAATCACCGATCGAAAGAACGATCTTTCAACCTCTTTTTCAATCCAAACAGCAATTAAAGTCTTTAAAATACCTTGAAATAAAGGTATCTTGTCAAAAAAATCCTCCAAGCACATTGTCCAGCAAAAGAACCATCGGTGCGTCAGAAATACCTTCAAAATAAGGTACTTTGTCAAAAAGATCTCCCAAGATCTTTCCTCCTCAAAACACCAATTAACGTATCAAAAATACCTGCAAAATAAGGTAACTTGTCAAAAGATCTCCCAAGATCTTTTCACATCAAAACAGAAATTAACGTATCAAAAATACCTTCAAAATAAGGTACCGTGTCAAAAAGATCTCCCAAGATCTTCTCTCATCAAAACAGCAATTAACGTCTCAAAAATACCTTCAAAATAAGGTACATTGTCAAAAAGATCTCCCAAGCCCTTTCAATTAAAACATCTACCACAGTGTTAACAATACCTTTAAAAAAGGTATCTAGGATCGAACCAGGTCTTCGAACGATCGAAAAGGTCCGATTTTAATTGGATTGTAAATACTCACCAATGATTTTTTAGTGCATCTTACTCGTACTTCTTCTCTCAGTCGAATGAGCTCTAGCACGTGGGGCACCCATATATATAGGGTCGACCTCGGTCTTTGAAAGATCGAAAAAGTCTAATTTTAATGAAATTGTAAATACTCACCAATGATTTTTTAGTGCATCTTACTCGTACTTCTTCTCTCAGTCGAATGAGCTCTAGCACGTGAGGCACCCATATATATAGGGTCGACCTCGGTCTTTGAAAGATCGAAAAAGTCTAATTTTAATCAGATTGTAAATACTCACCAATGATTTTTTTAACCCATCTTACTCGTACTTCTTCTCTCAGTCGAATGAGCTCTAGCACGTGAGGCACCCATATATATAGGGTCGACCTCGGTCTTTGAAAGATCGAAAAAGTCTGATCTTAATCGGATTGTAAATACTCACCAATGATATTTTAATCCATCTTACTCGTACTTCTTCTCTCAGTCGAATGAGCTCTAGCACGTGGGGCACCCATATATATAGGGTCGACCTCGGTGTTTGAAAGATCGAAAAAGTCTGATTTTAATCAGATTGTAAATACTCACCAATCATTTTTTAATCCATCTTACTCGTACTTATTCTGTGAGTCGAATGAACTCTAGCACGTGGTACACTCATATGTATAGGGTGGGCGGATGTCTGGAAGGGACTGAAAAAAATCGAATTCATTCTGATGAGTAGCACTTGAAACCCATGTTTGTAGCTGGAAAATAGAGCTGATTAACTTAAGTTATTGAAATAATTAGATTGAAATACTGCAGATATGCGCGATTTTTTTCTGTTCGTTTGTTGAGTGGATGTGTATCGGAATTTTAGTTGCTGTTTTGACATATGTACTTGCGAGAAGTGGCGCTGATTAATCAGCTAGTGGTTATGGTGTTCGTGCAGCTGGAACGAGTAGGTTTAAAGCGATATGTTATCGCATGCTGAGGGTTTGGGAGTGGCCATAGCTGAAGATGACGGAGAGATTCATACTCGTCACGGGCATGCCAAATGATCCACACCCACATCCACCCACAGCCTATATCGACTCCTACACCTATCCACGTGTCACACTATCCACACCACTCGCACTCTGGTGTTGTTTGTTGAAGTAGAAGTATTGCCAATCGGCGAAATGTATAACTGGTGACGAGAACATGTAGCTTATATTTGATAGCAGCAGTTCGTCAACATTAACGGCTGTGGGTGTGGGTGTCGGAGACTTCTTTTTACCCACATCCACACCCTGACGTACATCCTCATGAGAAATCAAATTGAAATATCTCACTTAACTACTTGCTACTTTTGGAAGGGTACTCGCTGCAGAGCGCGATATCTCCATCTTCCTTAAACATTACGTATAGGGATTATGAAGTCCGACATCGGATGTACATCCTCATGGAGAATGAAAACGAAATACGTCATTTAAGTACTTTGTGCGTTCCAAAATGGTAATCGCTGCGGAGTATGACATCTCTATCCTCATACATTACGCATAGGAATTAGGAAGTATTTCAAATCGAATGTATATCCTCATGAGAAATGAAATTGAAATGCCTCACTTGGATACTTTGTGCTTTCTGAAGAGGGTAAGATGCGTGTGGGCGTGTGTGGAGTGCATATGGGTTTGGATGGGTTTGGATGTAGCTGTGAGTATGGTTGCCAGTGAAGACTATCTCTACGTCCACACATCCATCGACAACCAAACTGGTATCTACACCCAAACCCACACCCACATCCAGACCCTCCTGGGAATCAATGACGTCTCCAAAAAGTGGTTCACATTTATATTCAGATCATTAGTTTTCTTCGTTAGGCACAACACTTGTTTGGTGTAGGTGTGTCGGTGGGTGTTGGTGTGAGTGGAAGTGTGAATGTAGAGAAACTCTTAAATATACTCTCACCCAAATCCACACCCACACAACCACATCCTAGTTTTTGAGAAATATTAGAAAGATGTTTGAAGCCCTTTCAGAAGCTTAGAAAAACGCTTGAAAGATCCTTATAGATCTTTCAAAGTCTTTCAAAGATCTTAGAAAGATGTTTGAACGATCTTTCAATGTCTTCGAAAGACTTTGAAAAGTCTCTGGAACTCTTTGAAATATATTTGAAAATCTTGGAAAGATGTTTGAAAGACCTTTCAATGGTTCTTGAAAGTTTTCTCAGAGAGCTTTGAAAGTCTTTGAAAGATCTTTGGACGATGTTTGAAATATCTTTGAAACATCTTCCAAAGATCTTACAAAGGTGCTTGAAAGTCCTTGGAAATCTTTGAAAAATGTTTGAAGGACCTTTGCAAGCCTTTGGAAGTCTTTGAAAGATTGTTGAAGGATCCTTGTAAGTCTCTGAAAGATCTTTCAAGCATTTTTGAAAGTTTTTGAATTTTTTTCAAAGACCTTTCAGACTCTTCGAAAGGTCTTGGAAAGTCTTAGAAAGGTCTATGAGAGTCTTAGAAAGACGTTTGAAAGATCTCTGAAAAAGCTTTCAAAAATCTTTGAAAGATCTTTCTAAGACTTTCAAAGGCTTTTGAAGACTTTGAAAAAATGCTTCAAAGATCTTTCAAAGGCTTTCGAACACTTTGAAAGACCTTTCAAAGACTTTCCAAGACCTTTCAAAGACTTTAGCAGACTTTGAAAAAATGCTTCAACGATCTTTCAAAGGTCTTTCTAAGACTTTCAAAGGTCATTCTACGACTTTCAAAGATCTTTCAAACGTCTTTCTAAGACTCTCAAAGATCTTTCAAACGTCTTTCTAAGACTCTCAAAGATCTTTCAAAGACTTTCCAAGGCCTTTCAAAGACTTTAGAAGACTTTTTAAAAATGCTTCAAAGATCTTTCAAAGGCTTTCGAACACTTTGAAAGACCTTTCAAAGACTTTCCAAGACCTTTCAAAGACTTTGAAAAAATGCTTCAGGGTACTTCCACGCAGGTCCGCCCACTTTTTACAGAATATTTTGCCGACAATATTTAAGTATGCTAGTCTTGTAGAGCTCGTCAAGTTATGCAGGAATTGATATTTGATTTTGATTCAAGTCATGCGCTAACTTCAGTA